GCGCAGGGTAGCAGGAAGTTCTCCGCACACTCACCGGACCTGGACTAGGACTCTGCCTTGATTTCTGAAGCAACTCAAATTATTTACTTTTTATGGTTATTTTGCCATTAGAGGTCATGAAGTGCCAGATCCAGTGAATAAAGTATGTGGGGCTACACCATGGTTTTATTTGACAGAATTTGTGGCAAAATATTTTTAATAAACAGCAAGGCAGCCACAAAAAGACACTCATGGAAAAAGACTTCCAGAGCTGCTTCAAAAAGTGGCAAGAACAATAGAACAAATGTATTTGTAGTGAAGGAGAGTATTTTGAGAGGGTTTAATGACAATATGCCCTTTAACTGCAATAAGATTTTAAAAGTGAAACACACACAGTAGTTTTTGATCAGCCCCTGTAGGTAGACATTAAGAGACAACATGAAGCAGCCTTGTGGTGATCTGAATCTAATCCTTTTGGCCTTGGTTACATCAATTTTAATATCCAGGTTGTTATAATTTCTTACAGTTTGCAAGATATCACCACTGAACGAAAGCTAGACAAAGGCTGTGTATAATCTTGTTGTATTATTTTCACAACTTCATGTGAATCTATGACACATTAACACCGACAGCTTCCCAAGGGGGAAAATGGCCACAGACTGTCTGAAACACGCTACCACAATGCATCAGTGCTCTTCCTAAGAGAAGTCACTTGCCTAGGGGTAAGCGTCCTGCTCATAAGCTGCGGATCACCATGATCTGCGGCTAGAAGCTGAGCACATTTCTGCCAGCTTGTGACACTCAGTCTGGAGATGGCACTGAAGGATGCTCTGATGTGTCGGTGCTACAGAATCCACAATGTAGGAGACCAACTAAAAGGAAAATTCCTGATTTGGAGTTCTCTAAAGATCTCCTAGGTACTTAAAATGGCTTCAGCGATATGGAACCTTGATGTGTAAACTGAGTGATACCATTTTGTGATGCTTCTGGTTTTTATAAAAATCTAGTCATGACTCCTCACAGCTTCATAGTTTGTGAAACATTTCTTACCTTTTTCTACTAGTTGTCACCTCTCCTGCCTCCTCTCTGTTCAATAAGTGCGTCAGGGGGAATCTTAATTTAGTAAAATAAGTTTACATTACTTTTGCTGCTAGGAAAAAAGAAAGCACAATTTTGTGATCTGAAGTGCTTGTGCTGGGTATAGCATCCTCTCCAGGATTTGATGCTCCCAGAGCCTTGGACCATGTGGGAGATGAAGCCATGACCCTCTAGACAGCTGCCAGCTCTGCCCTTTGCCTTCCTATAGGTTTTTCTTTAAGGTTTGTCCTGGTCTGTAAATATTCTAAAGCCATCTCTTAGGCTATAATCATCACTTTTTCTAGGAATAAGATAGAAGTGAGTTAGCCCCTCACTGCGGGGGCACCTCAGGAGTGCAAAGGATCATAAACGACACGTGTCCTTGTCTGCACACTGCATCTGGGGGCACAGCTCCCCTGGACTTCGCTCATCCTGTTTTCAGCCTCCCAAGCACTGGGATTACAGTTGTGCATCACCACACCCAGTCTCATTTGCCATCTCAGCATGCCCTGGGGGCAGGGCTGGCACAGCACGCTGGGATCAAACCCCTGTCCCTGCATCTGCCTAACAGGTGTGCTTTAATCTGCTGAGTTATCTGGCCAGCACTAGTACACATAGGTTTGTAACTGACAGCTGCACTTTGACAGGTCCTTTGTCACTTGTGCTTCAAGTGTTTGTGCAAGAAATACAGCACATGAATGCTAAGAAATTTTTGACAGATGTTCATAGGTGTATAAACACCCATATTTCACTGCACTACTTGAAAACTAAGAGCACTGGCTTATGTATACACCACAAAAGTTCACTGGTACTCTTACACTGTACATACTACGCATGAGTTTGGAAGTTTTTATAAGAGCCCCTTCTTGTGAATACTGTCTTAGTAATTTTTCCCTTTGCTGAGACAAAAATATCCAATGCCCAAATTTAAAGGAAGAAAGGTTTGTTTGGCTCATAGTTTGTAGAAATTTCATTCCATAATTGCCTGGCTCAAGGCAGGGTAGGGGCAACAGTTCATGGCAGGTGGAAGGTGGCAAAGGCAACAAAAAAGGAAAAAGACAAGGCTTTTTCTGTCCCTTATTTTATATACAAGCTACTCACTCTAAAGCAGCTGTTGTGCCCTCACTCTTAATCCTAGCCAAAGCTATGCCACACCAATCAGTAGACTGATTTACTAATCACACACCCTTAATCTCAGTGTCATATGCTAGATTCAGTCACCTCAAGACCTGTTTCCCACGATTGCATGAGCCTTTGGGGGGATGTCTAGACAAGAGCCATAGCACATGCTCATATACGTTTGTCATTTTCTAGGTTTCTCATTTTCTGTGCTGTCTTTGGTTATCATCAAAGACTGATAGTGTGAGCTTTTAGCTGGTTTGGTGGTTGTCACAGGCGTGGCCCATGGCAGAATTTTTCTTCTTAATTAGTATTTTGAAAGTCAAATGAAAGTCAAGAAATATTTCTTGATTGTCTACTTTATTTAGGTGTTGTATCAGGCTTTGGGGAATGTGAGCAAGCAGAATAAATCCAGCTCTTGCCCACAAGCAGCTTCCAGGCTAGCAGCAAGACACATATAAACAAGCTCAATACAAATATATTTAATTAAGAAATTAACTAATTGTGCCACTTGGTAATTGAGCTTGTGCAACAGTAATTTTCACTGTATTAAATGAATTATGTTGTAGTACTTGGCCTGAGTTTATAAAGCAAGAGTAGAGGACTCTACTGAGTTCAGTAGAAGAAGAGAATAATTTAACTTTTAGTTGCAAAAGGAAGTCCTGTTAGAGGGGGCCTGCCCCTTAGCTCAGTTCTTTGGGGCTGGGGAGATGGCTCAGTTGAATAAACACTTGCCTGGCAAGCCCAAGGACCTGAGTTCAATTTCCAGTTCTGCAAAAAAAAAAAAAGGAAGTCCTGATAGAGACAGAAATTGTGCAAGATAAGAGCATTCATGCTAAAGATGCTGCTTCTAATTTTCTGATGAAATAAACTGAATATCATTAAACTAGTCCTTACTGGTCAGCATGTCTATCAGCCAATATGCTAATTTTCCAGTTATAAAATTCTCTATCTCCTGAAGTAATTTCACAATACTTTTTCTCCTTCTCCAGCTCTGTCTGTTCCTGTCCTGTGTCACAGCATGGTAGTTCTGCTGGGAAAAGGGCAAAGAACGTTGGCGCTGTACCGCACAAGGGTCTCTGGTTTCAACCTTAGAAACTGTCCTAGTGAGGGAAGCTTCATTGGCTGTAGCCAGGAGGAACATGGGACAGCTATAGATAAGGCTAATAAAACATTCTCCTTCTCCATGGGACAGTGGCACACACACACACACTTTTTCAGTGTCACTTGGAGATGGAGAAATTGAAAAGCTAGCTTAGGTTCCTAGAGGAGGTAACAGTAAGACTTGACCTACAGCCTGCTTCTTTGTCTACTTGTGCATCTGTTCAGAAGCCCGTCTGGCTCACTCAGCCTTTTCCTAGCCCGGGCTGCTCCATCACTGCCTGCGTACGAGCAGAGGCCAAGGTGAACCTGCACGGGGCAGCCAGTGGGGGTCTCCTGTCTTCTGGTCACATCACAATCCTAGCATCTCTGCCCAGAGGGATGAAGAGGAGGAGCGTATTTGTTGTGATTAGCACTGTGGGATCTACTTAAGGATTTGATTGGACTGATTATAATGCATAGATAAAATGACTTACTCAAATTCAATAGAAATTTAAAAATTGTTTTTCTTTTCATTCTTTTATTTATTTATTTGGTATAGGTGTTTGATACACAGCTTGGACTCATAGCGATCCTTCTATCTCAGCCTCCCCAGGCTTGGGATTATAGGTGTGTACAACCACACCTGGTTTCAGTGGTCGGCTTTGTGTCCCTGGGGTTCTGGGGCTGGCACAGCATGTGGTTCTAGGGATCAAACCTGGGTCCTTGTGCTTGCCAGGCAGGCGCTTAGAGCACCAAACTATCTCTTTAGTCCTATGATACTCATATTTTAAAATTACCCCTGAATCTAGAAACATAATCCTTGGTAGTTTGATTCTATTTGTAAATCTTAACATTTTCTCTTTTGAAGGCTGCTGGACATTGAGAGTGAAATGATCACGTTTGCCACAATCTATGCTGGAATCGGCATTACAGTATTCATTCTGGGATATGTTCAAGTTAGTAGCTCTTCCATTTTATTTAGAAATTAACACCTGGGGCCCAGGGAGATAGCTCAGTAGAATAAGCGCTTGCCTGGCAAGCGCAGGGTCCTGAGTTCAATCCTCAGTACCAAAAAAAAAAAAAAAAAGAAAAGAAAGAAAGAAAGAAATTAACATCTCAGATCATGAACATGACTATGAAATGCAAATGGTCATTTTTGTTGTTTGAATACTGAATAGCCTGTACTCTTTAAGAAGCCCTAAGAACCACAAATCTATTTTCATGCTGACATGAGAGAATGGGGAGGATTCTTCTCAGGAGATGATTGAAGAAGTTACAAGAACCCTCCGGAGAGGTGGAGAGTAGGCTTTTGGACATAACATCCTGTCCTCCCTCCTCCTCCCCATGCCATCCTGTCTTCTGAGCTCTAAAAGGAAGAGCTGTGGATGCATTTGTAGGAGAAGTGTAGGACCCTGGAGAAGGCCGGGCTCACCATGGTGATAGAAGGCCAGGTGTAGTTTATTTCTCTCTCTCTCTCTCTCTCTCTCTCTCTCTCTCTCTCTCTCTCTCTTGGTATTTTAGTACAGGGTCTACAGGGTCTCACTATGGAGATCGGACTTGTACTGATCTGCCTGTGTTCAGCCTCCCAAGTGCTGGGATTACAGGTGTGCACTACTGTACCCAGTTTTAATCACCCGGCTCAGTGTGCCCCGGAAGTGGGGCCAACATGGCATGCCAGGGATCAAACCCCAGCTGCTGAGTCTGCCTAAGCAAGCACTTTAATCTGCTGAGCTATTTTTCTCTTTTATCGCTAAAATCTTACCAAACTGCTCTCCATACCAAAGTCTATAAATATGAACCTAGAGCATATTCTTGATTTAGGCAATGGATGGGTTCAGAGTTACTTAACTCTTATTAAAAAAGAAAAATATTCATTTTTTGCTGCCTTCAATAGAAAAATATAACGAATCCCATTCCCCCTTTATTTAAGAAGAGTTATTATAAGTAATGTTAGCTATAAAGAGAAATGAAAAAAAATCCATTTTTTCCCCTCATTCTAGTGTTTTCATTACTGATTTTTTTTTTTTTTCAAGTTAGGCTAAATCTATCAGCAGAGTAGATTCCTGACTTGTGTCATCATTTTTCTCTTCTGTTTCTCAAAGACTATTGCTTGGAATCTATACATGAATACTTTCCCAGGGGAAAATGTCACTCAAAAGAGGTATGCAGAAGTAGTAACTTAGGAGTAATAATGTCTTATGTTTGGTGGTGGGAACCTTATCTTACTCAGGTACAGGGTGCAGTTCAATATGGCAAAATCCCAAAATCAGAGGCCTGATTACAGGTAGAGAGCTGGCCCTAAACTCAGATCTCTAGCTAGCTCTCCAAGGATGTTGCCTCTACCTTCAAAGTTCGGGACTTGGTTCCCAAGAAGTGACATTTTTGGGGATTTTTTTTTTTTCTTTTTGAAAACCACTATATGGAAATTATCTACTTCTGAAAAGATGAGTTAAGCACTTTAAACGTCACAAAGCTAAAGACCACCTTTGTCTTTTTAGATATGCTTCTGGGTGATTTCTGGAGCTCACCAGGTAAGAGAAATGAGAAAAATTTACGTTAGAAGAATAATGAGAATGGAGATTGGATGGTTTGACTGCAACTCTGTGGGGGAACTGAATACAAGATTCTCAGAGTAAGTGGCTGCCAGAACAATGTTCTAATGTGTCATGTTGTATGATGAAACTCTTGCTTTTAAGGAACAATTTGAAGACATTTTCATTGGATTTGGTGTGCACTGTCTACTGTGTCAGGCTCTCAGAGGTTGCATGGCACCTTCATAGGCAATGTCTTATAAATACAGTTATTAAAAGTTGGAAGCTGTGCTGCTTCCATTTGATTTACAGATCCTTGATCAAAATGTTAGAAATGAAAGATGATAGCCAAGTATTTAAAAAATATTTTATTTACTTATTTATTTTGTACAGGGTCTTGCTATGAAGCTTAGACTTGTAGTGATCCTCCTGTGTTGGCCTCCCCAGCTCTGAGATTAAAGGCATGTGTGCTGGGGGTTCCAGGGGTGGCATGGCTTTTGGTACTGGGGGGTTGAACTCGGGATTTTGTGCTTGCCAGGCAGGAATTTAAATCACCAAGCTATCTCTGCCGCACCTATCTTTTTTTTTTTTTTTTAAAAAAAAGGATTATTTGGCATCTGGAGAAGAAAATGAAGGATGGATGTCACAATCTATATATCATGGAAAAACAGTACAATTAGAAACAATGATCTTTGGGGCCAGGGAGATAGCTCAGTAGAATAAGTGTTTGCCTGGTAAGCATAGGGTCCTGAGTTCAATCCCTGGTAAAAAAAAAAAAAAAAAAAGAAAGAAAGAAAAAAAAAAAAAAAAAAAAAAAAAAAAAAAGAAAGAAAGAAAGGAAAAGAAAAGGAAACAATGATCTTGCCACACACATGGAGGTTACTTCTGAACACAAAACAAAAATTCCAAAAATAAGTTGAGAAAGATTCAGACTACCAAAAAAAACAAACAAAACTGGATTTACATCTAATTTGTACCTCAATACATTTTGCATCATTGGTAGCCCACCTCTGAAATTCTGAATGAGGCTTCAGTAATTAGAGCCAGTTGAGCCCTGTTGAATTGAACATAGAGACCCATGAAAGGCAGTCAGTGTATAGTAAAGATGAAATAGAATGAAAGCCAGATGCCTAGATTTCAGCACCCATTCTGCCCCTTACTTACTGTGACCTTGAATAGACATTTAACCTTGCTAGAACACAGTGGCCTAAACTGGGCAATGGCTTATGTTTTTTCTTGCTGTCATGTTCCAAACCCTATTTACTCTTTTTAGACAGGAGTTAAGGAAATAGTTGTGGTGAAAATTAAAGGTAAAACCCTCAACAGGTTTTTCTTGCCAAGTTTATGTGTGTAGTGATGATGTCAAGGAGCTTGTTTACCAGAATAAGATATTAAGGCTCCAGCACACAGGAGGAAGATACAGTGCCGAGATCAGAATATCAGAGCTGCTTTGTCTCAATATTTTCATTTTGCTTCATCCTTTCAGGTTTGTCATTGTTATGGTGTAGTCTGGCCTACTAAGCAGCCTCAGGCTGTCATTATCTTGGTGCAGAACATATTATAGCAGGCTCTAGCACTAGATGTTGGGGAGGGAGTTGCTTGCCTACTATTTGCCTACTACTATGCATGAGGTCCTAGTTTGGAATATATAATTTTACTATTACATCTGGCTTAAAAGAGTCCGCATTAGTTATACATTTCAGTGATTTTAAATTATCCCACAATTTTAAGCTTACTAAGATGAAACAAACAAACAAAAAACCCATGGAAATGAGTCTTACATGACCCTAAAAGAAGTGTGTGTGTGTGTGTGTGTGTGTGTGTGTGTGTGTGTAGGTGTGCATGTACTTTGCTTTCAATGTTACTAGCATGTGCTTTGATCATTGAACTTAGTCTCTTTTTAGTGTTAGAAATTTATTTACAAAATTGTGCTGAGACATCTGGGAACAAAATGAAACTGCTGTGATTAAAACTGGTTTGTTGCAAAATGTTTTATTTAGACATTTGGTTATATTTTCTTTGGAAACTGCAATAATTTAAATATTTGTATTCTCTTTTGGAATTGTAACAATATATGCTTGTCTACTATTTTTAATTTTACAATAAAATAAATGTTTTGTTGAAAAAGAGTTAAGGAAGTGTTCTTAGGCATTTGAATCTAGTGCACTTCTGGTGTACTTACCTTATACTCCAGCCTTTAAGGAACTCATGAGCTAGTAGTTGGGGTAAGACAGTCAAGTTAACAAGTACTTGGCGCTAACATGGGTTGCTCATTACTTAATGGGCACTGTTCTACTTGCTTTATGCATATGACTTTAATCCAAAACTAAAAAATTCAAGGGAACTGCCCAAGAAGCACTTGTATTCAAATTCAGAGGGCCTGTGCTCTTAGCTACTATTTTATACTGCTTATAAGCAGAAAGCAATAATTACACACATACACACACACTCGCGCGCGCACATGCACCTACATGTGTATGTTGCTATGGAAACACAGAGAAGAGGATATTGCTTCTCCCTGGGGATTATCCAAGATTGATGAATGGGGTGGCATCTGAATAGAATCTTGAGACCGAAAGGGTTTAATAAGCATGAAGAAGGAAAGAAGGTGTCTTCAGGGTAGACCAGAGCCATTAGCTATACAGAAGGAAAGAGACAAACTGCTTTTCAAAAGCATTTATCAATGTTGAGACATCTTAGGAAAGCTGAGTAAAGACAACTGAGCTGATCGCAGCAGAAAGGCTTGAGACCACCCAAGGTGTAGCAGACTTGCCAAGAGTTGAAAGGCTGCTGTGTTCCCAAAGGGCGGTGACAACCCAGAGAAAGGGCTGCCCCAAAGGGAATGAGTGAAATGCTTCAGCAAGGCATTAGAACGGACCAAATTCCGTTGTTAGTGATCCAGCTCTTTCTTGTTCTAGTGATATTAATAAGATCAATGAAGCCATTGCTGACCAACTGGCCATTTTCATTCAGCGCCTGACATCAGCCATCTGTGGGTTCCTGTTGGGATTCTACAGGGGTTGGAAACTGACCTTGGTTATTATTTCTGTCAGCCCTCTCATTGGGATTGGAGCAGGCATCATTGGTCTGGTGAGCATGCTTTTTTGTTTCTTTCCATGAGAACACGTTTGTACTTTGAAATAGCCCAAAATTATACAGCTTGATTTTCTTCTGCTGGGTATGTTTAGTCAATATAATTATCACTATTTTGATGTAGTCTGTTTGATTATTTCCCAGGATCAAATACCATTCCAAAGAGTTGGAATTAATTATATTTAAATAAGATAAATACTATTTTACTAACAGCAAATGAGTACATTTGCTGAGCATCTTCTATTTTTCCAGGTACTATTAGAAACTTCGTATTCATTATTTTCAGTCCTTACTACAATCATCTAAAGAAAGCAATAACATAATTTTATTTTATTTATTTATTTGGCAGCACCAGGGATTAGACTCAGGACCTTGTACTTGCCAGGCAAGCACTTATTCCACTGAGCTATCTCCCTAGCCCAATAGCATCATTTTAAATATAAGAAACTGAATGAGAGGTAAAAGGACTGATCAGGAACAGCCCGGGAGGCACAGTGAGATTCAGGCTCAGTGGAGCTTGACGCCAAAGCCCCACCCATTCTTCAGACTACCTGTTGCGTCCCTGTTCTCCCCTCTCTCAGCTGCTTCTCTCAAAAAGGTACAATGATACCTGGGGAGACAGCTCAGGGGCACAGTGCCTGCCAGGCAAGAATGAGGTCCTGGGTTTAATCCCTGGTCCCTTCCCACCCCCCCAAAAAAAGCACAACGAATATACCCAGACCATCAGTGAGTACCCAGCAGAGATTTCTCTGGGCTTGGCTCTGTTCTCCAGGCCATCGGACCAGTTTTGAGAGAGGTTCTCTGAATTCTGAGTAATATTCCTGCTACCATCTCTGTTCTTCAGGTATTCAGGCCAAGACAAAATGTAGGAGTAGAAATTTGGGGCCATTCTAGTTAAAAACACTCCAAAGGACTGTGCAATTATTTCTTATTTTTAGAGCAGCTACATTAGCTAGTGGGTGATTGTATCAGACATACTAATAATTTTTCATAATAAATGAGAATAAAATTTGAGTTCAAGCTACATGGCACTTAAATATCATTGAACAATGAGTACCAGTCTCTATGACAATATTTTCTAGCTGAATAGTCTGATCCTCTGGCTATGTTTCCTAACC